CAATTCAGGATCAAAATTATGGCACACCAGCCATGGAACGGTTAATTTTTATTAATTTTTTTATCTCACTTTTATAGTTTTATAAGTAATTCAAGTCAGCAAACATACATAATATTTCCTCCTCTTCCTTTCCCACAATAACAGCCCTATGAATTAGGTAGGGTTGAAAGAGTGTGATCAGCTGAAAATCACCCAGATGGCTTTCATCTCTAAAGCAGGATTGGAACTCAGTCTCCTGGTTTCTAGGCAGTACTTTAGCCGCTACACTAAACTGGATCCTTTTACCCAATTATCTTTTTCCTCTTCTGCAACACTCCTAACAAAATCTATGCAGCTATTAGCAACAGGATTATTATTTTTATGAGCAAAATAATATTGCCATAGATAAATAACCATCTCAGTCTAAAAGAGAATCCCCATCCACCAATACTCAGGATTTCTAAAAATATTATGCGTAGTTTAGTCTTTAGATATCTTGGGAGGGAGAGCAATAAAAAAGATGTCACTTCTTGTAACAATTAGGATTGTAATATAGAAAAATATAAGCAATTTTTTTCTTACTTCAACTAGCTTTGTGAATGCTTACCATTGCATCATAGAATATTCCATCTGATTTTTTAAAAAATGCATAATGCTACTTTTTAAACAGTAAGACAAACAAATCATAGATCGCATTGCTAGAGTTTGTTTCCTGTGAGTGACAATACATTTGCATAAATTTTCTCATGTCAAAAAGGCAAGAGGCTATATTTTGATGATTTAGTGCAGTATCCTGCAGCCTGATAGCTGTGTAGAACAGTAACATTCAGATTAGTCATGTGTTCCTTGAAATGTAATCCAACACACCTGGACAGGGTTAGCTTGAAAAAGGTGACTGGACCTTCTATATTGATTGTTGATACCTTACACATATTTATATTTGGTCGACAAATACTTTTTCTATATATTACTAGCAATATCCTTAGTAGTGTTCCATAAGGTAGACAAAGGTTGGTTTTTCAACTGTGACTATCCGAAGTTGAAAGTTTTTGTCATAGATAATTTATAATTCTGAAAACCATTTTGCTTTGACCAAATATGACAGAGTAATGGGTAAAATTAGATTTTTTTCCCTAATGAGTGTTTGTTTCAAGGCAATCAAAAGCCAAAAGCCAAATTACTATATATTTCATTAATAAGCACTGTCTGAACTTTTTTGATAATTATTTAATTTTTTGGATAATTATCTATCTAGGCTTATCTTCACTAATTAAATAGTAGTAACATTTGCAAATCATGCTAATTTGTTAAATTACATTGATAAAATACAGTTAATAGGATGCCTCCCCATCTGTTTAATAATTTCTCTATTATAATTCTTTATTGGGCAATAGAGTGATACATACTAAACGTGCATTCAATGATCTCTGATTCTGCTCTCTCATTTTGTATCAATGAGAATAAGTGAGTTCCAGTGCACTTGCATGCTTCTCCACTTTTTCCTCATGCAGAACCAGGAAAAGGAATGCTAACTATCTTAAGAAAGCCACCTTGTATTTGATTTAAACAAGACTAGCTTTAGAAACTCCACTGACTTGTTCTAGAATAACTATGGTCATCTGTGTTTCATAATATGATCGGACTCGCGGTATGACTGTATTATTTTATTGTTTTATGATTGTTTTAATCTCTGTACGCCGCCCTGAGTCCTTTGGGATTGGGCGGCATATAAATAAAATTAAATACAAAATACAATAACCTGGGATAAGAGGCACAAAAAGATTCCAATCACATTTCAGCTATACTTGAAATGCATGTCACTTAGCATGATATTAATATAAAGGTATTGTCACTGATTTGTTATGCAAAATTTCACATGGCTAGTAGTTACTTTTGGATTGCAAAAATTCTACTTTTCTTTGTTAAAACATTCTGTCACGGGTTTCAAACTCGATCGTGTCATATGACACATCGTGATGTATTTTGCCTTTGCAGAGCTGGGATGGGCGTGGCCTGTGGGCCTCCAGTTTGATGTCCCTGTTCTATATGCTTTTCCTTAACCCTTTATCAGGCATTTCTGACTTCATATTATTTTGAAATCTGGAAAGAATGTTTGACATGCACTCGAATCAGACTAAGTCTGAACAAGTTACAATCTATTCCCTTAGCCATGAATAATCGTACACTGCAAGTGATTGAAGGTGGATATCTTAAAGAAAACTTATCTGTGAAGATTGCTGGTGGAGCTATCCCATTATAAGTTACTGAAGACATTTTCAAACAAGAGCATTCCACTGAATATCCAACATGTATTTAAAATGATATCTCAGTTATTTTCATTATTTTAAACTAGTCCCTATAAAAATAAAAATTATGGACTGAAGAACTTTCATACGGGCCTCAAAGTACACAAAGCAATTTTTACTAACAAACTAGCTTTCTATATGCTTGCATACAAGTAGCAACCTCAGAATTTAAACTGCTATTTTGCAGGGAGTTTTTCCAATTAATTTATTTTATTTGATGAAATGTATTTAATGATATAAACCATTTTACATATGAAGTTTATACTTGATATATGCTTTAAGTTATTAAATTAATAATTAAGTTATTACTGATGTTAGGCAGCTATGAGAAATTTATATAAATGAAGAAAATATAACCACTCTCTTATCCAATACTATAAATCATTCAAAAAAGGACAACTCAAAATTATTTGATATTTATGAAGCCAGCCTCCATGTTACACATCTGTAGGTACTTTAAGTTAAATTTAAATTTATGATATAAGGAAAACAGGAAGACTGACTAAAAGGAAAGTATACATGCCAAATAATTGTTTACTAAATTTTTCACATCTTCCAATCATATTCTATCAATTTTATATTGAAAATTATCAGTTCTCAACGGAAGACATCCACTCCATAATTTGGGGAGAAAGGCAAGCTTGTTTATTATTTGGTTATTAGCCTTATCCAACTACATAGGCCAAAACTCAAAAAAGTTAGTGTACCGAACAAATGCTACAGATGTCCTGAATACTGCTCCAGAAACTGTTCCACTTTTCAGGAGTAACTGCAAAACTATAGGTTAATCTTTTAATCTAATTCTCAATTACCTCTTTAAAGCTCAAGCAACTAAATTTTAGTCCTCTAGCAAGACAAGCAGTGTATACATTAGTATAATAAGCATGATTTTTTTCTCTTATAACATGCATACATTTCACACTATTTTATAGTCTTCAGTGAGACTTACACTTTAAGGTTCAACCACATGACAATACCACCGACTCTGGTGACATACTCCACACTATCATTACAGGAATAATATATTGAGCCATGCAAGAAGTTGAACAATTACAATCACACAGTTAATCTATGATTATGCTTTGTCTACATGCATTTGCTGCTCTAGTGAGAATGAAACATTTAACATTCTAAAAATAATTGTGTGTTCAAACACTTTAAGTTTTTAAGAAGAGACTGGACAGCCATTTGTTCGAAATGGTATAGGGTTTCCTGCCTGAGCAGGGGGTTGGACTAGATGACCTCCAAGGTCCCTTCCAACTTTACTACTACTACTACTACTACTACTACTACTACTACTACTACTACTATTATTATTTTGAAACAGGTCTGAAGGGGGGGGCAAGGAGAAAGTTGTTTTAGAAAGGTATATCCGACATAAAATGAAGGAAAGGAAAACAAGTACAATAGAAACTTTTAAGAGGGTGGCAAGGCTTCTAGACAGTTACTGAATTATTATTACAGAATACAGCCCCAGAGCAACTGTTCCCTAGCTAGACTTTGATATGAGTGGATCACAACTTCCATCATGTTGGCCAATGATGATAACAGTTAGAGTCCTATTCATCTGCAGTATATCGTATTAGGAAAAGCAGGGTTTTTTCAGCCTAAAGTATACCTAACCTCATAGATTCTTAGTGTTTTCCAATCTAACCTAATTACAATTTTATTTCTATAAACATTGAGATAACACAATCTGTATACCCCCATAAACATGATAAAAAAATCAAAATTTTCATTAGCTTCACTAGAAAGTAAATACTCTTATTTATTTTCTCCTTAATTCACAGAACCAATACAAATTTTATATACCCAAAAACTTTAAATATTCATCTCTTTAAAATGATACTGCACTGAAGTGTATTATATGAATGCAAAGATCTGCTTCTGAAAAAGACAGAAAGCAAATGGAGACCATAAGGTGCCTTAGATCCTAGACCAAAGTCTCATACACTATTTTGATATGTATTTAGCATCGGTATTTCAGAAATGAACTTGGGGCATATGCTTTCTCTGTAACTTACTTTATCCTAATTAAAGAGACAAACAAACAAAATTAAAAGGGGGGAAATTGCTGCTAATAACCAGCTATGCAGCTCTCTACATTTGTATAGAAAGAGTTTTTTTCTGTACAGATTACTCTGCTGTGTTTGCAAAATTAAGGAAACTTGAGTTTTGGAAATTTGCTTCAAAACAAATTTGGGGATTTCTGACTCAGAAAACATTAGCACATAATATAGTTCATCTATTTCTGCTGCACTGTATCCCAACTCACTAATTACCGCCAAGCTAGCAACAACTGACCTATGCACAAACAGCAACTTATCCAGGCTAGGTGTGGCAACAGCTGGAAGTGCTAAATAAGGCAGCTGTCTCTGATAACCAAAGGCCAAGATTAAAACTCCCGAATTACATTTTACTGAAATGCAAGCCCCAAATATATGCTAGCTAGCAAAACAATTGTGGTACTAAGAATGGTGCCTATGGAGTTCTTCAGCATTCAGAAAAGAAATGGAGGGGGGATAGTTAACATTGGAATAAATGTGCACAAGGGAAGAGACAGATTAATCCCAGATAAAGACTGTCTAGAAAAGATTCTCTAAACCTGATATGATCCAGATATACTCGACCGTGACTTTGATGATGCACCCAATAGGCATGCTGGCAGCGGATGATTGGACTTCTAATCACGCACATCCGTAGAGTGCTAAGTCGGGGTAGTGACTTAACGAGTTCTTTCGAAGTGCGGTGTGAATGTTAGGCGGCTAATAAGAGAAAAGTGCGGAGAGGAAAAGGGGTGGGGAGGAGAAACCATCCAGACAGGCAGACATCTCAGGTAGGAAATCAAAGTCCACATTTACCTGTTTCCCGTCCCAGCGGGTGAGCCGTACTATGCAGGAGAGTCCATAACAAAATGTGCTTAGGAATCCAACTCATTGTATCTCTCTCCACCCTGAGGCGGCCTGCAAGACACAGGATAAGGAACAGCCAGCCTGGCCGAGACAACTCTGGGGGACGAGGGGAAGCGAGCGGAACTCGGGGCTAGGGTGAAAGACGACGAAGCGGCTCTGAAGCAGACTGGGATGAGGGGAAAAGAGGCCCCAGCGGAGGCAGCGGGAGTAGCTGCGGCTTGGGTACTTCTGACGTGCGTGTGTGAGTCGCTCCCTTTCTCTAGCTGTAGGAGAAACAGGAAATCTTAAAAAGTTCGCAAACAGCTGGGCAGGACTTTCTTAACTCTTACAGTAGTTCCTTTTTTGGCCCTCCCTCTTCCCAGCTTCTCCATCCCCCCACCCCGCTTCAGTATGAAACCTCTTCAGACCGTTCTGCGTGTCAATCATCGACTTTAGGCCGACCTCCCTTGTCTCAAGCCGTTTCTCCACACGTTGCAAAAAAAAAAAAAAATGAAAAGCTCTGCCTGTGGAGGTTAACCCGCGGCTTGGTTCATAAAGGCATTTTTCTCAGTCATCTCGCCCACGCTTTTCTCTCTCCGACACAGTAGCGCGCAGATCGCTACACGCCCAGGCTCAGAACCCTGTTATTAGTTCTCATATCCGTAATACATTTTAGTATTGCGCCAGAAGTGATAACAAAAGAGAACGAAGGCTCCCACCTTAACGCGTATTTCCGGAGCTCAGTATTTGCTCGGTTCAAAATGGTTTGTATCAAGATATGTTGACCCCATAGCTTAACCTGCAAGCAGTTTTCCATATTTTATTTTATGTCCTAGTTTCTGTATCTAGTATTTGTAAGTCAGGTTAAAAATTTAGCAACTCAATAAAGTTAACATGTCAACATAATTATTTAACTTAATTTAATAAAATCAATGTTGCAGATGTTGACCGAACTTTCTTGCCTCTTGTAAGAAACCTGATGGTAAAAGAAATAGAAGCACCATTCATTTCTATGTATGTGCTTTGGAAATGCATCTCTGCACTTTAGTAAAGTTTTTAAGTCGTGTTCAGTTTCCTGGTATTTTACAGTCGCAGCCATTTAGTTTACTTAGCCATCACAATACAGAAATAGCTTGCCATTGCCTTTTTCAGGGATTTTTTTTAATCCTTCACGTCTAGATTATACACTATTTCCTAGTGTCCCTCATCAAAACATTAAATAAAATTGAACCTGTTACAGTTTTGGTGTTCTCTTTTGTTTCTCCTATGGACATTTCATGATTAGGCTAGGTAACATTATTAACTGAAAATATCGAGACTAACAATTCAACCCAGAGCTATTTATATTCTCTACTAAAGCAAGACTTGATTTTGCCCAGGTTTTTCAGATGTCAAGAGAGTTAGCTTTCAATATATATAATTAGATAGTCAATGGCTGTTTACCTACTGATTCACTTACAATTTTTGTTATGCTTCCTTATGAGGCAAATATAGACATGAACCATAGTAACACTTGTAAATAAAGACTGTACTGACTGCTAATGTGGTTTATGATTAAAGTGTTGGATTAGGGCCAGGCAGGCTCAGGATCAAGTATACTTTCAATTGTTAAACTCACGTTTTGCTCACTGCAACTTCATGGATCTGTACATTAAAGCTGGCCTAATGTGGTACATGAATTCAATAACTCAGCCTTTTGATGAATGCCAATTACAGAGGAATCCTAGCTGCCTCTGTGTTTGTGGAGGAATACTGGATTTAAAGACATACATTCCAGCATATAGCTAGCAGAGATGAGGTAAATTAGATCCATCATTACCCATATTTTGCAAATTTATATTATGTTTGCCTAAAGATTGCTAATGACAGCCTTGTGAGGTAGACCAAACCATAAAACAGGCATGGCACAATTTCAGGAATGCTATTTATAGTAGCAAGGTGGAATAAAAGATTTTAAAAAGCCTATTCAGGTTTCTGTTTCCCCATTTTATATCCCAACAAAAGCCAGACAGGGTTAGTTTGATACATTCACATGTTATTTTCTGTCTCTGAATTATGTATTTTTTTTCCACACAAGTCCTCCTTCTTTCTCACTTAATGGCTGTTTCATAGCTTCATTTCTTTGCAATTAATATATAGTTGGAGAATGGCAGAATCTCATGAAAATTAGAATTTTATTTCTTTTGCAATATATTTATGAAGAAAAGTAGAGTATATATTATTTTTCTTTGTTTGCAGGATCATGATATATAAACAAGCGTAAGTGACAAAGAATAAATGTTATTCAAAGTATAAAATGCTATCATTTCAAAACTGAACACTTATCACCTATAATAACTGTAGTTGTTAATTAAACAAAAATAAAATAAAATTTAAAATGTGTTAAGATGGCTTATTGTAGTTGGATATTGGAATTGAGTGTTGATTCCTTCTGGAAAAGCGAGGCACCAGGAAAGACCATACTCAAATATTTATGGAAATAGAGTGCTTCTTAAATACTTTTGAAAATTTGCATGGATATAATTAGTGCTCCTGATGATGATCTAGCCTTGTTATGTTATACTGAGATAGCTTGGGCAACTAATACAGTACAATTACATAAAAGCTCTCTACACATATGTTAAGCTTAGAGGGCTCCTCGGTTTAAATTGTTGTTGTTAATTGCGAAGTCATGTCCGACCCATCGTGACCCCATGGACAAATAGAAATGGTTAAGAATGAAGTAGAAAGAGAGATGCTTAGAGTACAAAACATACCTAAATTGTTTAATCTACTGACTAGATTATTGGAACATGTTCTGTGTGGGGTTGCCTTAGAAGACAGTCTGGTGATTATAGCTGGTTGAACATGCTGCAATCAAGGGAGGGGGAAAATATAAGCTGAAAAAATTGCCTCTGTCCTGTGAGTATATCAGGCCCTAGTACTTGCCTATAAAACCCTGAATAACTCTAGACTTCAATATTTGAGGAGTTGCCTGACACTCACTGACCATTCGGCAGTATGGTCTGTTATAGAGAATCTGATGATGATCCCATCTGAGTGAGAGATTGCTACGGCATATGTCTACTGACGGGTCAAAATGGCACTAGACTTCTGGAATGAGCTTCCAATGGACTTGAGGTTAGGTCTTTCACTCTGGATGTTTAGAAAACTGATAAAGAGCCACACGTTATTCTCTGAAAATTGAATGATCTTGTTAATGTTGATTGTAAATGTGTTTAATAATTTTAATAACTTTTTATATTTTTATGTTTTGATTGTAGATATTTTAATGCCTTTTTAGTTTTGACTGTTAAAAGGAGCCCTGAGTGCCATGAAGTGGTGATTTTGGCATGGATGGACAGATGGGCGGACGGACAGAAGACAGAAGATTGAATAGAATTCATATTGAGGGTTCATTAGTTAGCATTAATCAGAATAAGCTGTACTATGCTTTATCCTTAAGATAGTAATTATCTATCCTTGAGATAGTAATTAGATAATTATCATTATCCTTGAGATAGTAATAAACTAGATGAAGACCAAAGCTAAATCCAGAAATGGCTAGTGTAAATTGATAGGTCTCAGGTCCAGAGAAGCATACTAGTGCTATAATACAAATTATACTTTACCTAAATATTAGATGAAGTATAATTCCTGTTATAGCAATGGGAACATAGCTTGGAGCTTCTTTTTGACTTCAGTGTGGCAGTAGAGGATCAGGTGGTTTCAGTGGCAAGAGAGACCGGGCTGATGCATTAGTTATAATCCTCTCTGGATTCTCTAAGCTTTCCTCAGTGATCCATACCCTGATAACTTCACAACTGAATTATTGGAATTTATGAAATCACTAGAAGCTACAATTGCTGCAGAATCAACTGCCTAATTGTAAGGCAGGTGGTAACCTAATGGGCTATCCCTAAAGAGCTGCATAAGTTGGATTAGTTATTAGGTCTAATACTACGTACTGACATTAGTCTAAATGGCTGTGTTTATCAAGCCTAATACTGCTTTCCCAGTATTACCCAGCCCTACTTGTGATTTAATAGGGCAGTGGTTCTCAACCTGTGGGTCGGGACCCCATTTGGAGTTGAACGACCATTTCACAGGGGTCGCCAAACAACGCAGTCCGCCATTTTTTTCCCTTTTCCTTAGCTGTGCTACTCCCTTTTATTCTATTGGCTTTTGAAAGCCAATAGAATAGACTCTCTTGAGCCCGCCAAAAGTCCCATTCTGCAAACGGTGCTGCACCAGTTGAATAGTCCTCGACTTACAACCGGTTGAGTGGTCCTCGACTTACAACCGGTTGAGGGGTCGCGGCATTAAAAAGGTTGAGAATCATTGTAATAGGGGCTTTGGCTCACAGCCAATGGCCAAAATATGCTTTTCTCAGTGGCAGAATTCCAAGTACTATATGAAACATTCCCCAGATAACACCTAAATAAGGTGCCCCTCCTTACTGGCTGATTAATTTTGGAAGTTGAAGTCCATACATTTTAAAGTTGCCAAGTTTGAAAAACATTGATTAAAGTACGTCTGTTTACGTAGGCATTTATGGGGGAAAAAATCTAGTTCCAGATCACGCTGTCTATTAGATTGCATCTTATACTGGTTTTTAAAAAGGAACTCTGTTTTGATGTTTGTATTTATAATTTGTATGGATTGTTAGCTTTATTATGAAGGTTTTAATAAGATTGCTTTCATTGTTTTTTTTTTTGTTTTGTTTTGTAAATTGATCTGGACTGCTCTAAAAGGAAGAAGGAATATAAATATAAAATAAAATATGAAAAAATATCTCTCATACTGTAATTGGTCACAAGTAGGTTTTGAGTAGTTCTTAAGAAATGAAATCAAACCCCTGTAATAAAATGTATTAGACACAATAGGAGTATGAAACTACTGTTCAAAGATGTTGGTGTAATTGGAAAAAAGAGGAATAATAAATAATATAAAATCAATTCATTAGAGGCAGAATTCTGGAGAAAAGATAAATGCAGCACTGATAAATACTGTAACTACTTTTGTAATAATTCGTGTAATAACACTTCTACATGCTGTAAATAGCAACATTGGCTGTGTGTTATTACGCTGTCAACTTCTGCTTCATTTATTTTTCTCTTTTCCAGAAGAAGAGGTAGTTCAAGGAAGTCTTTGCATCATATCTTCCAAGGCTGATGTATTGGACTATAACTTCCATATTTCTCAGCCAGCATCGTATTTGGTAGCTGAGAATTGTAACAGCTGTAGTCCAACAAAACTGGAAGACATACCTATGAGGAAGGATGCTTCATAGACTTAATTTTGTTGACTTATTTTGGTGCTTAGGAAGAAAACTGCCCTATAAATATAGAATGCGCAGAGGCCATAAAGAGAAACTAAAGAAGCATTTGTAAAGTGAAAACTCTATATCTAATTCACAGCACTATTAGCTCAGTTTATACTGAACTCTCAAATCCTCAAAGAAAGCTTACAGAAAATCTTTGATTATATCTATACAGGTACTCTTTGACTTATGACCACAATTGAGATGAAAAATTTCCATTGCTAAGCAAGATAGTTGTTAAGTGACTTTTGCCCCATTTTACCACCTATCCTGCCGTAGTTGTTAAGGGAATCCCTGTAGTTGTTAGTAACATGTTAAGTGAATCTGGCTTCCCCATTGACTTTGCTTGTCAGAAGGTCACAAAAGGGGATCATATGACCCCGGGACACTGTAACCATCATAAATATAAACTCGTGGTCATGGCTCTGAATTTTGATCATGTGACCACAGTAATAGTTGTAAGGTGAAAAAGGGTCACAAGTCACTTTTTCAGTGCCATTGTAATTTCAGTCAGTAAATGAACAGTTGTAAATCAATTTTTACCTGTACCATATAGCTATCAATTA